TCGCCGCCGCCGTTACTACGCTCATTAGCTCTGCGACCTCATCGCGGTCGCGAGACTTACATTATTATTTCATGGACACTCGTTTGGAACGTCAAATTAACCTATCGGTGCGCTCACCAAGCGCGTACACAAAAAAATATTTCGGGAGGGGTTTTAGGTTGTACATTTTCATAATAATATAATCTATATACCAATTTTACTCTATAAAAACATATTTAATCATTTTCCTGAATTTCAGGAGGTGTTTGAAACCTTACAACCCCCCCTTGTGTACGCGCCTGGCGATCACTACCTAATTATTGAACATTAATCCTATCATACTCAAATATGTGTACCAGTTTATAAAGCACAACATAGTTTATATGATACAGCTTGATTTACGTTTATAGCATAATTTATATAGCAATAATTTTTAAAATACACATGCAATATTTGTATTACAAGTTCCTGATTGAAACCTGTCACCACCGGAAGCAACTCATTATTCTCTTATTAAAACTCGCATTGATTAGATACATAAATTAAAGAAAATGCAATGGTAGATTTACTTATTAATTTACATGATTACGATCCGCATAAACTCCGGTAATTTTATTAATTATAATTACATAAAAACTTAATAATTACATTATTTTAACAAACTATACCTTTACATTTTTTCTCTTCTTGAGCTTTTATTATGTAGACTGGATTCCGTGTTGGCGTATTACGTATGCACCTCGGGTCAATTAATTCCGGCAAAAAGCTATTAAAAAAAAAAAAGTTTTGGCAACATTATTAGGGTTACCATTAGTGGCGCAATTAGAGCTAAAATTTTGGGAGGGCTATAGCCCCACCTGATATTACATAAAATGTAACCCGTGGGGACGTTGCCCCCACACCCCCATATATATTCACTTAAAAATATAAAACATACAAAAAAAAACAAATATTTATTTACTCAAGTTTCATTTGCTTTTATTTTTGTTAATAAATAGTTTTAATATTTCATTGATTTTAATTTCAATATCTTTTTCAATATGAAGTATTGAAAGATTACTAAACCGATCTTGGTTCATTGTGAAATGTAAATATGTGTTTATCCACAATAATAATATAACGTCTATATATTATAGATTCAGTGCATACTGAAAAATATACTGTAAAATGTTATGTATAGCAATTAACAATCGTACCAATATATCGATAAACATCGTTTCAAACAAATATAGGCAAATGATACTTAGTATTTACCATATTTTATCATAGACAATATAAAATAATTTTACAATTTGGAAAAAATTAAATTTATTAATTTTTTCTAAAAAACAATAAGAATTACAGTTGAATTTTAAAAGATTTATTAATATTATACGAAACAATTAAATAATTTATTTTAGGGGGAATATTAAAAATGTAGGGGGGGCTAAGCCCCCTCCCCCATCCCTAGTTGCGCTTATGATTACCATATTTAGTTAGGGTCTCGTCGGGACTTTTTAATAATTCTAGAATAAAGTGTATAAAAATACTCAATTTTTTAATAAAAATTATAATTCATTCTTTAGATAAACTATTTGCATACTTAAAATATTTAAATACTAGTTTTTAAATTAATTTTTTGTATTTAAAAATATTAAATACAAAATTTTCAAACAAAATTCTTAGTTTGATTATTCAATTTTGAAGAAATTGCTTATCGTCGACGAGACGAAGTGACGATTATAAAAAAAAAATGTTAAATATTGTTATGGACAAAAAATATTACCATATATCGTATATCTATTTAGCTATTTATATTTTATAGTATCGTAGCACGGCGACACCCCGAATTTCACTATCCCACATACTCACATACTCCAAAACTTATTATTCGTTAAAATTAACTTATTACAATAGTCACTAGTCACTACTCACTAAAAATTAATGGAATTTTGCCATAATATTTTAAGAATTAATAATCTGACAACAAAAAAAGCTTAAAGAAATGTAATTAAAAATATTTGAAATATTTTTTTTTGAACATATTTGTATTTGTATTTAAATACTCATTAGCAAAGGTACTTGAATACTTTTTAATTTAAGTATTTAAATACCTATTTGAAATACTTTTGAAAAGTATTTTAACAACATTGACTACCTATTTGTTTATTTATTTACGTTAGGTACGTTAAAAAAAAATATTTTGAACTTATTACAGATTACTTGAATAGCCATACTTATCAGAAGATTTTGCTTTTTTCAACAGATCTTTGTTCTCTTTAACATATTTATATAACTCTGCGCAAGTCATCAGTGGCGTAGCCAAGGGGGAGGCCAAGGGGGCTATAGCCCCCCCCCCATGGGCCGTGTTTATATGTATAATGTATCTTGACTATTTAATAGAATCAATGGATGCTCGTTTTATCAAAGGCTTATTGATGTTATGCCACTTGAAGGACATATTCCGGCCAATTTAAATATGTATGACGATAAAAATATTATAAAAGCTGCTAAAATATACGTCCAAGATCTCCATGATGATACCTCATCTACAATCAGAGCTGACCTGTTCATATGGAGGAAATAATGGAGTCAAAATACTATTCCAAAACCGAATTCTGATCTTGATTCACTCTCTCATCGCACCAATCTTCGACTTAACATTAAAATACTTTTACAATTATTCGCCACGTTACCAGTTACCTCTTTCACTCCGGAAAGAACGTTTTCAGCACTTAATCGCTTAAAAATTTTTTTAAGAAGCAACATGTTGGAAAACAGACTGAATGGGTTAGCTATGGCTAATATAAATAAAAAAAAGCAATTCGATGAGAGTGAAATAATAACTGAATTTGCCAGAAATTCGCCTAAGAGGATGCAGCTGTCAGAGTGGAGCAAGTGACTGAACACTGACACCAAAATTATTATTATTATAAATTATATATTAATAAATATTTTTAAAACTATACTAAAATGCTTGAACTACGTTTAGAAACTTGGTGGTAGGGTTTAAGAGTGAATTCTCATATCCTCTCTTACCTTACTTATCAAAAAAAGTGGTTAGCTCCCCCCCATTTAAAAATCCTGGCTACGCCACTGCAAGTCATGTTATAATTAACTTGACTCTGTAAAATTGACTCCATAGTTTCTGAGAGCTGACGATTTCATTCATCAGTCCACTGGGTCATCATTAACGAAAACACTTTTATCCATACCTTTAGTCATAAAAGTTTAAATACATATGTAATTTTTTATTTTCGATCGGATATTTGTAAGTAATAAAGCAAAATATTCGAAATTTTCAATGAACGGTTTTGATAGGGAAATTTTATTCTTTTGTCGGGACGTCGAGACGCAGAGCTCAATAACGGCAGAATTTTGGTAACTGAAGGGGCCTCATTATACATATTATAACCTAAGCCTCATTCATAAATGCTCAAAATAATTTTCAAACGTGCATATTTACCACATATTTGTAAATTATTCAGAGAACAAATATAATAATACTTGTAATAGCATAATGATAGTTTATAAAATCGTAATTGTACCTACAAGAGCGGCCTATCCTTGCATGTCGATAGAATAATAAATAATGATAATTATAATAGTAATCAAATTTATATTGAACCACATCGTAAAATTCTTTTTATTTTGTATTTATAGAAGATTATTTGTGTCACTAAGGATTGATCAAATTTAATACTAATTTTGACGCCTTTCACGCGCCTTTCTGATGACGGCGCCCTAACACGCGTCGATCGTATCTAGACCCGTCCCTGCACCAATTATGATTTCTTTTTCATTTTTAATTTCCCATTTTTAGTTTTTTTTCCAACAACTAATCTTTTTTGTCGATTCCTTCTTCGGTGGTTATATCGACAACTGATTGAGAACATTTTATTTCGATCAAACCATTTAGAGTTACTCCTAAGAAATAATTGAACTCGTCAATAAACAAGATTTTATAACCAGATTATCTTAACATTTTTTAGCTTGTTTTTAATGATTTCTTCCATACTCTATTACTATTATATCAACATCAGTAACATAAATAAAATGTTTTATTAAATTTTCACATCCCGTGTCTAGACGACGGTTAATTATACTTCCAAAGTTTAAAGTAGTAAGTAACTTACGCCTTATCTCCAGCCAATTATGACATGAACTTTGATTAATAGTTTCTCTTTCTATTATATCTCTTTGTACAGCCTTTTTTTTTTCAGAGACTATGATTTTCAATTTTTCAATATTATATTCATCTTCATTCATATCTGATTTCATTGCATTTTCTTCATACGAAACATTTGAATCATTCACGACAATTAATTTTTTTTAAACCTTTTATTTTTGATCAAGCTATTATATTGCTAAAATTGGTAATTGCGTCGTGTCATTTTCATTTATATTGACGGCATTTTTGCAATATGATAATTTTTCAAAATTGTTTTATGTAAAAAATAAAGTGGTCTTTAATAATTTTTGGTGACTGCAATCGCACAACGTTCAATATATGATCCTTTTAGTGAAAAAATGTATTCTTTTACCTCCTATTAGAACTGAACAACCAGGATTTGGGACTCATAGCACTAAGAAACTATAATGAACGTTAAGAAATCTAAAAATTGTGCATGTAATATTTATTAATTAGTATTACCTGCATGAAAAATTTTAAAAAAATAACAAATAAATATATACTTGTTTAAAAACGTTCTTATTTTCTTTTGAATACGTACCCTCCCAGTTTTCGAATTTCATTCAAAGTTATAAAATAACTTTAAGTACTATTGTTGACCGTCAGCCGTCCGAACTACGTTTGTCGGAAATCCTTTCGTATCACATGAACGTTTTTTAATTACATCGGGCTATATGGCTAAAGGTGCGTTTGCATTGGGGCCCGCAAACACGAACGAACGGCGCACGAACGCTATTGCACGAATAATGTAAACATTCCATCTGCACACGAACGTTCGCGTGCGGTCGTGATCGACCCAAGAGTGGTAGGATCAAGGAAACCATCCATTTAATTTGAACGGTAATTTCGTTCCGTGTGCGTCGTTTGCATCTTGTATCGTGTTTTTGTGTATAATATTTTGCTTATAATTATGGAATGGACAGACGACGATTGTATACAACTTATAAACTTGTATAAATCAAGACCGATCCTTTGGAATCCTGAACATCCCTATTACAAAATGGGCAAGAGAAAAATTGACTTTTGGTTAGAAATATCCAATGAATTAAAACGAGACGTGAACGAAACCAAGAAAAAAATGGAAAGCCTACTAGGATCTTTCCGAAGGGAAAGACAACGAGAGGCCAATAGCGGACGTTCGGCAACAGGAACTGACCAAAGTTATTGTTCAAAATGGTTTGCATTTGAAGAAATGAAGTTTTTGAATGGTAAATTCAAACCTCGAGTTAACAAAGACACCATTGAAGTGAGTACATTTTATTTTTTTATTGTATCTTACTTCATAAAATTCTAAATACGATCTGTATTTTATAAATATTGTTTTCTTTGTTCAGTCTACTTTTTAAAAATGATTAGTCTTTATTATTAATTTATTATATTATTAAGTAGAAAATAATACCAGAACATAATATCAATATTGTATAAACATAAAAATAATTATACCATATTTAATCATACATTTGTTATTATTTATATTATATTTATATATCTTATTTTTTTTAATTTTTTTTTTTTTTTTATTAACGGAAATGCATCATATGCTATAAAAACAAATGTCATAGCTTTTTGTCATTTAACCAATTTTTCCACTGGTGGAGGTTCTAATTTTTGTTCTTCGAACTGTTTAATAAACGACATATTTTGAATAACTCCACTGTCCGAAATTTGGCTCTGACAACCAACATCAGCTTTCAAAAAATAATATTCGACATAAACTTAGGACTATACTAAATATTGCTTTCACTTTCAATCGATGCTTGCAGTTGAACATGCTTCCCATAAACAGTACCGATGCAATGGGGAAGTTCCAAATATCTTTTCAACACTTAACCATTCTTTTTAAAATATAATTATTAATCATAGAGGTACTTTACTATAATTTTAACACCAATTTTACTGGCGTAAAATGATTTTTCAGAGTTAATTTTTTTCACGCAAAAACTTGTTGATTAATATAGGTAAGCATTAAAAAAAAAAATCAATGTTGATTGATAACTACGCCCCTTTAATTCTACGATAGCGATATATAAAAATAATGTAATATAATAATAATAATAATAATAATAATATTTAGTAAAAGTATAATTTATTATAAGTATTATTATAGTATAATTTAAAAAAAAAAACTTCATACCTAATAATTACAAATTTAGATTTTTTTCCAGTAATTTTTATAAAATGTCTAATTTTTTTTCAGTCGGTTAGCACTGAAGAAACACAAAATTTAGATGTGGAAATTATTGAGAAAGTCGACATAGTGCAACCTCAAAAAAACAAAGTATTTGTATTCCCCAAAAGGACAACAAGGATAAAAAGAAAAAAAGTAGAAGAGGATTCTAGAGTAACAGAAATTTATAAATTAATAAAATACATTTCTGATAAAAAACAAATACCGAAAGTAAAGAATGACTGCACGATTTTTGGTAATTATGTCGCTAGTAAATTGCAATTATTTGATCGACGTACAAGAACTGTTCTTCAGCATCAAATAAGTAGTCTTATATGTAATACGGAACTTAATTATACTTTTAATAATTATATTAATCAAGTTTTTAAACAAACTGAGTCTTCGACCAATCCAATGTCATTTTCGTCTTCAGTTTCATCACCAGCTGCACTATCCATTAATTCAATGTCTCCCATTCCACCACAGTCACCAGTATCATACACTTCCACAATGCATTTGCCTTCTTAAAAAGACATATCTAATTTTCCATCTCCATACGTAATTCAGCATCCGACAACGCTAAACCAAAGTAGGTACATCTAATAATGAAACATCACCAAACCTAGATAATAATATGGTTTAATTGTATACTTTTAAAATTAATATAATTTTCTTAAAAACTAACAACACATATAATAATATTACTCATAATAAGTGCTACTTTGTTTAAAAATTTAAAAAATCATATTTTATTATTTTATTTTACATACCTACTCGTATGTAATGTTACATTTATAATATTGTAATTAATAAAATACTAAATTTTATTAATATAATATTTTGGAATATCTACCCATTTGTAGTCTTGTAGTACTTCAATTAAGGCAGTACAGACCTCTGGTACAATAATAAAATGCTATTGACGATTTTGAGACTCTTAAAACTAATGACAAGTTTGCAAATTTTTATAATTTTCATCCCTCTACTTGTTTTATCTAAAATAACGCATTCCTCCTAAGACTTGTATTTTAAAATGATATACTTATTTTTATATTTATATATAAGACATTTTTTTTTCGGTGAAAATAATTGTTTTTAACATTCAGGCCCGAGCGCCCAGCTTATCGTGTTGCTTAGTATAAGCCGTTTCGCAACTCGTATTATACCCGTATTTAGAGCCACGGACTAAGATAATATAAATTATGTGAACTATAAAAAAATAAAAAATATTATAGGTACCTACACAAGGTGTGAAGAAAGTTATGATGATATCAGGAAATCTGAATTATAAGGCATCCCTTCACTTATCTTGAGCCATTTCAACTACTGGGTGGGAGGTAGACAAATTGTATAATTTTTAATTTTTAAATTTGACTAATTTGCCAAAATATGCAAAACAAGCTCATTAATACTCACTTACCTGCGAAATCGATGAAATGTGCAAAAATATGTACATTAAAATTTTAGATTTAAAAACATGGCAACTAGAAATTTATTTATTTTGTACACCGTTATATTTTACAATAAATAACAAAAGTATGCAAATGCTATAATAGTCCCGAAGTCTGGCAGTGGTGCATACAGTGGTGGGGATTACGTTGGAGTAGAAATAAAACCCTCAAAAAAAATATTTTCTACATTAGATTATATATTATTATAGCTTACTGTTTTGTCACAAATAATTATTATTACTATGATGAATGATTATATTTTTTTCAAATTTGATTATTATGTTAGATACACATTTATAGTTCAATATAATAGTAAATACATGATGACGTGTTTGTAACAATCGCCGATCGATTATTTAGTTGAAAATTTATGTTTACTAGCGTATTCTACGTAGGTACTAGATATTACTATCAGTGTCGTAGCTAGGATTTTCTGAAGGGGGTGTTAATTATAATTATTAAATATTATATATAATACGTACAAACTAAAACTTTTATTTTAATTAATTAATATGTATACATAATGTCTGTAATAAAGATGTAATGTATATTCGAATTCGGATAGCTTTACCATAAATTATTCGAATATTTGACTATTCGAATATCATTATTCGATGCTACAATACCTATTATTATTATTAAACGTTTTGTATTGCACGAAAACGTAAACGAATAATTTTCATCACGTACTATCGCAATCGCGATAATGTTAACCAGTATATATGTAATTAGTATTGTGCATTATTTTATATTTCATATTGTATTATCGATTTATCTATATTCCTATAATAATGTAATATATGATACGGCTCAAGGGGGGTGTCATATCTACCAAACACCCCCCTTGTATACGCCACTGATTACTAAGTGTTATAACAATAAAAAAAAAAAATTGACTATGTGAAAATGTATTGGTAATGATTTATATATATATATAAGAAAAATATGAAAAATGTGTGAGCCCCCCCCCCGCCAACAGAAATCCTTAGTGTGCGTTTGAATCTTGCTAATAACTAATAGATAGGATAGAGGCTTGTAGTATTTGCATATTTGTTTTGCACAATCACAAAAGTAGCAGAATATAAAACAAATATGTTTCATGCATTCACAAGCTAGTCTTTACATTATATTATAATATTTGGATTTTTTTTTTTTTTTTGTTTTAAGGCAAATTTCTTCCATTTCATACTTTTAGATGTATATTTCAAATAATTTATCATTTTTTCAATAACTTATCTGCCGACGTTCTTATTTTATCTAATATACGATCAAAATATTGACGTATTAAAAATAATTTTGATCACACAATGTAATTGTTGACTGTTCGCAGACACACGTTTTTAGTAGTAAGTTGTCTCCAGGATCGGCGATTAGATTAATATTATCTATAAATAGTATATAGATAACTTACATCTTAAATTTTCGATAGGCCGTTAACGATCCCATAAACGATACAAAAAAATTTCAATGCGCTGACTTTGGTCAGTGTTTGTAAATAATTTAATATTATAGTAATATAGTCTTAGTTCTGCAATCTGCGTACCTACATATATGCGTCTGTTCGTGATTCTTTTCATCTTTGTGTACTTTGTTTTAACATTAAAATGTCTAAAGATGAGCTGTCTTAACAGTCGGTTAATGAGTTAACTATCGGAGTTTGTTGTCGATGCGTTTTCGACGGACGTTTAAGTCCTATAATGTGGGTATTTTGATGTTAAAGTAGGATGTGAAAAATGATTTAATGTTACGCAATATTTAAATAGTTTACATAAATAAATCGCTTTAAAAAAAAATATATAAAAGCATATTTTTAGTGCATATTAAAGGATTTTTAAGTGCATAAGTACTTGCATATTTAGTGGTTTTTTAGAGCAACAAATCCTCTGCCCTACCAATAGCTAATAGGCCAACATTTTTAATGAAAAATATGTACACAATACAGTACGAGTACATAATCAGTGAGATGTGTGTGTAATCTTCTATTTTGATAAAAATAGTTTAATGATAACAAATATTTTTAATTAAATTATTACACATTGACTTCTTATAATATTTGTATGTAACATTGACATTTGTCTAAAAATATGGATTCACAAATGATAATTTAACAAATTTTAATTATCTATAAACTAGCTTTAACATTCTTTTATCAAAAACAATGATAAGAATTTGTGTTATATTGGAATTCGGTTTATATTTGATATTGTAATTTATATAAGTAAATTTTTGTTATTTTAACAATTTGTTTAATTTTTTAGATTACCATATGTAAAATAATTGCTTTATTATTGAATAGTTAAAACTTGAAATATATACTGTGTCAAATATTTACATGAAATAGATCAATTTATATGATAAAAATAGTTTTTTCTTAGAATTACTTAGTTATATTCAATAATATTTTCACAATTGTATAACACATAAAAATAACAATTATTGTAAGTAAAATAACTTTGATCTTGCAAGTTTTTACTGAAATATTATAATTATCGTTTCAAAAATATGTAAAATAAATGTATTTATTGATCCAAAAACGTATCTAATGAATAAAGTATACTAATATTGCTGTCAATATTTTTATTGTTTTGTACTTATACTGAAATACAATATATATATATATATATATATATATATATATATATACTAATAGTGTATTAGCATAACTGAGTACCTATGACAAATTTTAGTTTGGTATTTAAAATCAAATTTTTTTTTTCTAGAACAATAATGGCAGGACTTTAATACTGGTTCGAATATGAACATTGATAAATTTAACTACCAATGTTCTTTTACAAAATGTGTTCTAGAAAGCCTCTTACTATCTCTGATATATGTAGCCAGTTTATATGTATGGAGCTCTCAGCATTCAAGGTAACTTAATGAATTATTTATTCAATATTATTAATGTCTTTGTACATACCTAAATATTAACATTTACACATTTATTTGATTTTGTGCTTACATTTGTTTCATATGATACTAAGAGATCATCCATCGACTATAAAAAAAAGATTTCTTAGTGTTACGTTTATGTTAATATTTTCTCCATTATATACCTGGTACTTCATCCATGACAAAACTAAAGTAAGGCTTACTTATTACACTATTATGTTATAATTAATCATTATCTGAAACCAATATGTTTAGGTGCCTATTTGGTATTGGTTGGGTTTAAAATGGGACGGCATATTTATATCTGCTGCGTCCTCACTTGTCTTAACGAGTGTTTTGTTTTTGGGTTCAATTTGTTTGATTTGTTGTAAAAGCTTTCAACTGAAAAGTATCATTAGTAAGTTTTCAAAACCTTTAAATAACAATATTATATTTTATAAAATCGGATTATCAACAAAGTGTTTAATTTTCAGGTATTGAAAATATTAAGTCTAACTTTTCAGACTTGATTTGGCTTAGAAATTATATAGTAGCACCAATTTCTGAAGAATTTACCTTTAGAGCCTGTATAATACCTCTATTACTTCAATATTTTCAACCAATGACTACTGTATTCATTTGTCCAGTGTTTTTCGGAGCAGGTAATATTAATATTTTATAAATATAACCTTTTAACATTTATTTATTTATACTAATTTTTAAATATGTATTGGTTCAGCACATTTCAATCAATGGATAGAAAGAATGCGAGCTGGTGTACCATGTTTTGATGCATTTTTAATGTCAGGTATATTTATATATTTAATTATTTACTTATTAGATAAGATATTGTGTTAATATTATGTGGTTTATCGTAACTAGGATGATCACTGATTATAATTTAATATAATCAATTCTATTATTAAGCTATTTTAACTTTACTGTTTGATTTCTCTAATTTCAAATGCTATTTATAAAAACATTTGTTTTTTTAGTATTCCAATTCACATATACAACAATATTCGGTGCATATTCTGCATTGTTATTCATCACAACTGGTAACATTATTGCTCCAATTTTGGCTCATAAGTTTTGCAATCATATGGGTTTTCCCGATTTTCGAGAAATGTTTCAATTTCAAGAACCTAAACGCAGCGGTTTGTTCATATTTTCATTAGCAGGACTAATACTTTGGTGTTTATTAATTAAATATACTACTGAGCCATGGATATATTCAAATCAAATGGACTGGACCGAAATGAACCAATGTAATTCAACAAATTCTAGCAATAATTTTCAGCAAAAACATTTTGTAAAATTATAAATACAAACAATTTTATTTACATACACAAAAAAAGATTTCCAATATCATAATATTTTGATGATTCTTCTAGCTCAACATTTTAATACAAATATTTAAATTTAATGATTTTAAAAAAAAAATGTCAAATTTAATTAAAAAAAAGACTGGATAGTTGTAATATTTGTTGTTAAAAAATTGTTTTGATAAAAATAATATAAATTATTTATATTTTTTTAATGTAAATAAGAAAAACATTGTTACAATATAGACACATAAGATATCACAAAAAGTAAACAAGTATCAATAATTTTACATTTAACACTAAATAATTAGTAGTACATACATTTTTCTCAGTTTTTTTTTTCTTCAACTACATACTTTTAAAATATTATAATACAAAGTATTATAAACTTATTTATAGTTAAAGTCAATTCAACAAATATAAAGATAAAATATGATGTATTTCTGCTAATTCACAAGAGTACATCAATTTGAACTTTACAACATTATAACAAAATAATTTGAACTAATAACAATAATCTATTATGTTGCTCTCTAAAATTCAAGTCTGTATAAAAGTTGTTCAACAAAACAAATTTTTAAAATTGTAATTAATTCAAACTGTATTTTATTTATAAATATATAAACATTAGTCTCTTTCAAAAAAAAAGAAAATATTTCATATAAATTTTATCTAAAGTAAATAGATTGAGCCGCTTGTTTAAAATGTAAAAATAATGATTAAATTACATTGAAATTGTAACAAGGAGTCAATTATACTAATTTCAGTTAATGAAATCACAGATTAAAAACATTGATCTAATAACTGAGTAAATTTCAGTTTACAGACCGCCTAGAGAGTAACATTAATTCTTAAAAAAGATCAATACAGAGTTTCAAGAGTCCAATTTAACAGTCGGTGAGATATTACTGGTATTTTTAGGACTATGGAACATGCATGCTATTTAAGTCACCTAGAAAATAGAAATATAACATTAAAATAATAAAATATTCTGATTATTTACAAAGAACAAACATTTTTGTAACAACAGATATTAGACTGACTTGCATCTTGAAATCTTCTTCCAGCTTCTTCTTTTTCATTGCCATCAAAATACCAAAGAGTTATTGCATACCTAATAATATTAATGAAAAACATTGATGACAATTCAAAATAAATTTAGAAATATATTAATGCAAATTTAACCTAGTTTTAAATGCTGGTTGAACTTCGTGAGGATTTCTTCGGTCAGACCAAAAAAATAGAATTCTATCAAATAATGGTTCTATATCTGCAACTTGGTCACTCCAACCTTCTGGAAATATTCTTAATAATCCACCATTTTCCTGTAAAATAAATAAATTCAATAAAATAATTACATCAAAATACATATATTATTATTAACAATATAAAATAAATCAATAAATTGACCAATTTAACAAAAAATATAATAAAAATAAATTTGTTATGAGACTACAACTGATTGTACATTTAACTATCGCAAAAATATAAACCATTCAGAGCTAAATGTTTTTCCTATGTATGATCAAAATAAAAATATCTAGGAAAAATAGATACAACAACTTGTACAGAACTAGTACCAAAAAAACATACTAAATATACATTTTGGATGATTTCCAATATTATACTAGACTACATACTTTAATATCCCAGTCTTTATTTAAATAATATATTGCAGTAATACATCGGCCATCTTTATTTGGATTATCAACATGCTTGACATAATGAGATCCATGTCCTGGATAACAAGCAACCATAGCCTAAAAATGATACTCAATTAATAATATGCACCATGGTAATTTAATATTAAATCATAAATAATCCTACTTAAAAATATTTATAATAACATAGAATTATTAAAGTTGCCATAATTTAATGGAAATATTTATAAAATTATTATAAATATAATTTTAACAGTCACATTGAACTAGTACTACTTTTTTTTTAGTTAATATGTTACAATAATTATACTATAAATAAATTTTTTTTAAAATTGTTCTCAAGAAAAATTAAAGAGTACTATTAAGGTGACCATATATATTTTTATTCAAAACAAGATAGAAAAAAAAATTTTCCTAATTTTTGATTATAAACAAATTTTTTTTATTTAAGAACTATTAACAAAATTAAGTACTATTATGGTTATAAGAAACAAAAACATTTAATTAATTAATTAAACTTTTTGATAAGTAATTCATTTTGATTACAATTTTCTTTTTTTAATGTAAGAAAAAGCGTCTACATAAAGAAACGATCAACAATTATTGTAATAATGAAATAATGAATTAAGAAAAATAATCTTGTATTTAAACTTATACTGTAGTGTTTATTTACTATAGTACATTAGATTAATATATAGTTTGGTGCATTTAGAGTTTTTATATTTTATTAGTTTAGATATAGATGTATGAATATACCACTTAGCTTTGATGCCGTTCAACGTCAACCATTCAGTAATACAGTAAATACACATCACATGTACACATACTAATTAAATATAATAGAAACAATAATTAATTAACAAATTAAAATTGACTATGGTTATTTTTTACTACTTTTTGAAAACGGGAAATTTTAGTGTCCTGATTATTTCCTAGAGGACAACAGGATAATTAGGTACAAAAATGGGACTGTCCTATTCAAAACGGAATGTATAGTCATCTTAAGTACAATACAACTTACTTTAGTACGGCCATTAATAGTATAGTTCCCAAGTTTTCCATTATCGTTCATTTGGTTTGATCCCATGACTACAGCATCAACATCACTAATAAGCTGTCCAATATATTTACAACACTCCTCACGACCATCTACCCAAATGATCTGATCACCACGTATAGTTTTGAGATTATTATTAGCTTTGTTTCGAACTAACTGTCCATCTTTAAACACTCCCATGTTGTATAAATTCAATACTTCATCAAGAACGGTCATACCACGTTCATAACCGAGAAAATTGTCCAACACGCACACTCCATACTGGTCCATGTCACGAATGATATTACGACACAGGTCAACATAATCACTACGTTGCGACATTGGTACATTAATGGTTTGAACACTGTGATTTGTTCTTTTCTTGCGATTACGCCCCATTACAAAGTCATTTTCTGAGGACAAAAAAAAAATATTATGAAAATTATATTATTAATGTAAGATATTTGTACAGTTGAATACTGTCTTGACCACTGCACAATGGGTGCGACCATACGTCGGTTTATTTCTCCAAGTCCAACACGTCAAAGGTACATAGGGAGGTCGAGTTTTCAATTATTATTTGACTATGGTCAGTTTTGTTTGGCCGGGGAGACATATGGACGACTGTGTGACAAACGTAATAACCGGATCAGGATGTTTAACTTACCAAAAGACGGACGGCAAGCTCGCGACGAATGACAGATCTTCGATTGTACAATAATACGCTGAAAGAGAAAACATTGATATTCGCACAGGCTCTCACTCCCTCTCGCACACACAAACACACACAGACACACGATCAGCAGAAAACGCGAAACCGAGTGAGTAACACGGACGTACGACTGCACGTACGCCACAGGGAAAACACAGAACCTCCATAATAATAATAATAATACGTATTTTAACAGCGTACTATCTACGGAGTGATAGCGACAATTGTCGTAGCGAATGAGAAACGTCCGGACCTAGGTCACTGTGGTATTATCGTTATACCTGGTATCACATTATACAACACGGTATCAGTCACGTTTTAGATAATTTGTTTATCTAAATAAGAGATAAACGACGTTGCTACGTTACTCGTAATTGCTTATACTCAGGGGTTGTGTCGGGCAAGCGCCAGTTTTCACTGTGATAGTAAATGTGGCAAGATAGATTCCCCTATGGCAGGATAGGGCATTTTTGGCCTACCGGGAAATTTAAAAAAGGGGCCTCTACATAAAAAAAAAAGTTGCTCTTAAGTACATTATTACATGAATTTTATTAAGTACCACATAAAAACAAAGCATAACACACAACCCAACAATGTATAACAAAACAGATTTTAAAAATCATTTATTTAGTTTTTCATTTTAAAATAACATTTTACCAAATACTAGGTTCTTAACTCCTAATTTATTAATGATGCGTTCAGAATCAATTTTTTTGAGAATATCTTTCTCTACATTCATTAACAACATACTCTCTAATACATTCTGATCTATTGTATTTCTTAAATAATTTTTCACAAATTTTAATTTAGAAAATGTACGTTCACATTCTACTTGTGTAATGGATAAAGTAAGCATACATTTATATGCAAAGTGGAGGCCACGATATGTATTTGAGTATAAATTATAATTCACCAACACTTAAAAACAGCATGTAACACAATACTTGATACTGGCACTATGCACACATACTATAATATATAATATCATCATCACTCTTGAATCCTAGAAAAAAATATAAAATAAATATAACATAATTTTTGATGATTTTAATATTTATGTAAAAATAAATACAGATTATCATTTTCTGAATCATTACCATCATCAGTAACTTGATTATTTAGTTCATCATACACACAAACAATGGTTTTTTTTCAACTCTCTTCATTTAGATATAAAGTCAACATATTCATTTCAAAGATCATCATAAGTTATATTTGGAATAAAATTTCTAATTTTTTCATATACTTTTATTAAAGCATTTGTTGGAAGTGGTAAATCTGGTTGAAAATTGTTTAAGTCGAGACAAGAAAAATCGGCACATGGTTCATGTTTTTTAAATCTTGATGAAATACTTTCAATAACAGTATCAAATACTTGGTTGTAAACATTGATTTCAAATGCACATAATGAATCTGTAATAGGATCATCTATTGATTCATAGTCAGTAAATTGTCTTTTTTTTTTTCTTATTCTACTATGAGGTAATTAATTTAGAATTTCTAAAGTATTATTCTCTATTTTATCAGACTTTTTATTGCTATATTCAACAAAAGTATTAGCTGCTTCTTTTATACTTTGAAACTGGCGGACACAGTCTTGCAAGTTACTTCAAAGTTTATTTCACTATTTGATAAGCTGCAATTATATTAACTCCATGGCCTTGTAAATATTTTGATAGAGGAGTGGTTTTTTTTAAAAATTCGCAAGTACATCTGGAGTTATACCTAAATTGTTTTCAATTTCATCTAATGTAGTTATAAGATTAACATAAAATCCATTTTCAGGTTCATTATTTTGTCCAAAAACCTTTGTCAATGCTGCATCTTTGGACTACTATCTTGTTTCGCCGATTGTAGATATTTTTTTTTTGGAATTTTTGGTTTTCCATATGTCCATACGTTTAAATGACTCATGTATAAATACTGCACATCCTTGCAAGATACCAAACAAAGAAATAAATTGGACAATTTTGCTTGTAATATCACTAATAACTAAATTTAATACATGTGTATAACACCATACATGTACTTGTTCAACCGCTGCTTCACTCATTTTTGCGGAAAATCCATTATAAATACTTTGCATATTTGTAGCTCCATCTGTTGTGTTTCCTTTACAACATTTTGGGTCTATATTCATACATTTAAGAACATTTAAGAGTAACTCAACAAAATTGGAGCATTTACTTGAGATACACCTTACCATACCAACTAATCTTTCGAAGACAGATGTACCATTCACATATTTTAATATTATTGAGCATTGATCTGTAATAGATATATCTTGTATTGTATTGAGTTGTAAAGAATATATTACAGCATCTTTTACTTCATTAGAAATTGTAAATTTTATATTTTTAGCAATAATTTCAAGAATATAATTAATTGTATTTTTTGATAAAAAAAATAACAACCTCCTTCTTGTTGGGCTCCAGCATTATGACATTTTCAACTTTTTTTATAACTTTATCTAAATGTGATTTAAGCAAGGAATCATATTAACTAATAAGTAAAGTTATTTCCAAAAAATTCCCATGGTCTAAGAAAGAATCATCGAGTGAATATGCAGCATCATTTGTTTTACTTCTATAACTTAGTCTGCACTTTCCAATTAACTTTAAAACATCAATAAGATGAAGTAATACATTTCGATTGTTTTCAACTTGTATTTTTTCTAATTGAACCAAGTCTGTATGTTAAAAGCGAATCCACCAAGGAATATTACTTTTTCATCAAAAGAGCATCAACATTTAATTAGTGCGTTAATGATTCTTCATGATCACTGATTCGCTCATAAACATGCTTCCAGACAGAAAATCCTTTGGAAAATGATCCAGAACCATCATCATAACAAAGACATATATTGCAAAATAAAGCTTTTTTCTTAACACAATAGATATCCATTTACGATGACTTCCACCCTAACGGTTATACAATTTTCAAGGTTTGAATGAAATGTTTTTTTTTGGTTGATGAGAATGAAATGACCAAAAGCTTGTAACATTAATACTTCTAGGTTTTATAAATATATCAGTAGCATCTGTAAAAAAAAGTTATAATTGTTTAAAATTATAGAATTAAAATTTAGGTATATATTATGTAGGTACTATTATCAACATTTGAACAGGTTTCAACTATTTCCATGGTATCAACATTTTCAATTGTATTAACTTGATTTTTTTCATTGTCTTGTTTTAAAGCACTGACGTCTAGAAAGAAGTTTTAATTTTTTAAATAGTTTAGGTAAAAAGTTAACTAGAAATTACCATTATCACTATTCAGATTTTCTCTTTCATTTTCAATAACATTACTGTTACATTTTTTCAAGTTATTGTCACTTAAAGATGAAAATTGGAAAGTATATTTATAAAACTATAAAGTTAAAACATAATATATCTAATATTTTATATTATTATAATTTTGTTTTTTAATTTAACTAACTATTAACATTATTTCAAGATTAAATACAATTAATGCATCAATTTACCTTCTACCTTAGTATGATTCGACAAATTGTCTGTTATATTAGCATCTAAAAAATGCATAATATATCTATAATATAAATATATTATAACATCTATTATCAATTAAGTAGGTATATCTAATTATACAAGTGTCTTAGTTAGGGTTTTATACTTCAAATAATGTTAAAAATTATAAATATAATAGACACATTCAAAACACAATTTGTGTCTTAAATATCTTAAGTATATTTTTATTTGACAAACCTTACTTATTTTATACTGCTAATTGCTATCAAATGTAAAAATGATACTGAGATACATATAAAAAATATGGTGTAATTTTAGTTAATATTCCTACATAACATTGTATAATTATAATAATTAATAAGCACCTATATTGTTATAGATAATTATGTATTAAATAATAAAAAAAAATATTATACAGTATAGCACCCATAGTTATACCAATGTGAGTACTTACTTGATTTTACAAAATTTAATTTTTTTTGTTAAGGGTTTGATCTTCCTTTCTAAACAAATCTTTCTCTTTTTTTTTTCTTATAGCACTTCCGCTTTTATGTATTTTTTTGGAATTGCCCATTGAAAAAAATAAAACAGCAGCACGTAAACGTCTCTTTAAACTGTATGTACTATGCAATATATAAGAACTAAGGAATATAGTATGTAACACTAATCAACATGGGCGTCCATTGAGAGGGAAAGAAGGTGACATGTTCCCCCTGGCTTTTTAGTACTTTAAATATTAAGACCATGTAGTGGAAAGGCTATATCCTAATTTTATATTTATATGTGTAAATTCAAGATATGAATTTAGTTGACAATGTTATCAATGAATTTTCCAAAAATAAACGCAATTTGGAACTATTGTTTGTTACTAAAATTAATTATTTATTAATAATAAAGCACAATGTTAATTTTACATTTTTAAAATTGTATTAATTATCATTTTATATACTTTCATTTTTTATAAAATTTAATTTTATATATCTATTTTATAAATAATAATTTTATAGGTTTAACTACAATGCATGTACTTAATAAAATAATATTAATATATATATATATATATAAATATAACTTTACCTATGACAATTTAATATGAAAGTAAATTTTATTATAAAACACTATGCCCCCCCCCTAGATTTCTGAAGATGGACGCCCTTGCTGATCAACTATATAATTTAAACTATCAAGAAAAATAACGAGTAACTGTAAGTAACGTTATGTCAGCTATAGTACAATAACTAAATAATAATTATAATTCTAAAATTTGTTTGTGATTAGATACCAGTAAAATAGTAAATATTATAGTACCGCACACAAATACATAATAGCATTGAAAAAGTCCAATGTTTAGTTTAGATTATTCTAAAAATAGTATATACAAAAACATATTTGTAAGTTATTACCTACCTCACCAGTTACCAGTTTCAGCCGTGACCACTACCCGTCGCCATCTAGAAATCGACGTTGTTGGTGGTAGCGCGGCGGCTGCGGGCCGATAAGAAATCTTATGTAAATAGTAGTAGATATAAGATTATATTTTATTTTAAAATTCAAATTTCTATCATAGGTAATTGCATAATAAAGGGCTCCATTACCAAAATACGAATGGGGGCCCACAGGGAAATGCCCGGTTTCCTGGTAGGCCTATCCGTCCATGGATTCCCCTCTCCTTGAGCTTCTTTGATTCGCCATTAATATTTTCCCATTATAATTTTACTTATGTCCGCGAATGTTTAAAATTCTAATAAGTATAACTTTAACTGATACGTATATTCCGTATATTACTGCTAATCTGTGACACGGTTACCAACCATCATTATACTTATTCACAAGTTCGAAAACTCGACTATAATTAACTCGAGTAACCTAACGTTGTTCGGTTTATCCGAGTGTTAGCAACCTAAGTAGGGTGTCAGGATAAATTATTTACCCTGGTGTTATGTACGTCAATATTATATAATTAACACAAAAATAATTAATAAAAATGTAATGAATGGCGGTATTCACGAAAGAGCACATGCGTCGCGCACCACGACTCCAGGAAAACAAAACGAGCGTGTGCGACCAGTGGCGGCGCGAATATTTTACTTCATGCGTCCTGTTAGGATTTTGCCCATCCACCCACTCACCCACCTAAAAAGAAATTTAAGGGTAGCTTGTAAAAAGAGCTCCCCCACTATTCGTTCTACATGCTACATATCCACTCAATACCCACAATCTGCCGTCTCGCCGACACTGTGTGCGACTATCTTATCGCAAGCAACGACGGAGAGGAGGGGTGCTATCAAGAGTTAACTCCGCGCTAACGTTCGGTGACGCCAAGTTGTTGACTCCGGGTTAAATTTGACGACCTTTATTAAATAGGTAGGTTTGTTTAAACTCTACTCTTCTCTTATCATATTCGGACACAGCTCTTACGGACGATAATTGCAAATTACATAACAGCATAAATCCATGGAAGTCGCAATTAATGTGTTAATGTGTATATTTTGATTTGCAGCATAATTTTCAAACAAACTTTGTCTGACAAAGTGTCTGAACGACATAAAACGGTTTAGAAATAATTGTTTTTGCCAAGACCAATTGGATCATTTGTTATCTATTATATAGGTATATATAATGTACTTGTGCTATATGAACCTAAAACTTTTGATTAATACTATTCTTGTAATTGGGTTATCAAACTCATTAAATCCAAATAAATAAATAAATTAATTATTCATACGGTGGTCGCGTTATGGCAGAAGGAATTTACTGATTTAAATTTTTTGTATAAACCCATAATAAACTCGGATTTTGCTGAAAAACATTCACGACAACGACGTCCTTCATCTTCGCGAGAAAATCGCCATGACGGAATTACCATAAAAACGTTTCAAACTACTGAGTTCTTTCATGCGATTGCTGTATGTATAATGACTGCATAATGTGTTACCCAGTATATAAGCTATATGATCTCACACACAACCTGTGATGTAGTCCTAAAAAAAGTCTTGAGTATACGCTAATTATAAATAAAAAGGATGAGTGGGAGTTAGTTCCCCCCTCCCAATTAAAATTTTTTTTTAATTCTTTTCAGTAATGCATGTTACCATGCCTTTCCGTAGTCAGTGATGTTATGACATATTTATAATTAGTATCTATATGATTCCGTTCTCTTGTGGTAAACTTTTGTTCATGAGAGTTAAGATAAGCTAAAAAAATAAGTATCCTAATTTGAAAACAATAAAATACAATTTTAGACTATTGCAGTAGTGTAACGGTTTTTTAAACAATACTTTCATGCAATAAAATTAAAAATAAATTTGTAAAATGTAAACATAATATTAGAAATAGCAAAGACATTTCTTTGGAATTTTAGAAAATAGGTCAAAATTCCATTTATACTGTTTATAGCTAGTATGTATCTGTATGTAAATATATGTAAATGTACCCGTATACCAGTGTATCACAAATTGTATTATAAGTATACGTATCAATCAAAAAATAGAGATGTCGTTATACCCACTCCACTACACCACTGCACAAAACATGTATACATTTTTTTGCTCTTTCTTTAGTTCATTTACCTCACTTCATTCCTATATTCATGAGAAATAAAGCTTTTTTATTTCTATTGCTTAACTCTTAGCTAGTAACTGAATGAAGCACAAAACACATTTGGCATAGACAGGCCCGTATTTACAAAAATTGCCGCCAGGGGCAACATACATTTTGCCGCCTCCCCCCTCCACCAAAAAAAAAGAAAAAAAATTACTTTATTGATATTACACAATATGTAGTAGTAAATAGGAGGTACATTAATATAAAATAAAACTCAGGTATAAGTTGTATAACTAATAACCAATATATTACTTAAAACAATTTTTAAAACATTCTTTAAAATAATATAACAACTTAAAAATAAAAATATTAAATTATAACTTCATAACTTTTTTAAACTTTTCTGCGAGATTGTTTTGATGCAAATGATTTAATAATATCATTGTAATCAATCATTTTGGTTATAGATGACTCTATGTTTAATATGGCTAAACTATTTAATCTTTCAGATGACATGGTTGATCTTAAATATGATTTAATTCTTCGTAGAGTGGAAAATGATCTTTCCGTTGAACAGTTAGAAGCAGGAGTACATAGAAACATTCGGAGAGCTACATAAACATAAGGAAAAATAGCTTCTATGTTTTTTTCTTTAATAAATTTACACATATTAATGATATTTGTTGGGTTTTTAATTGTTTTAAGCAAGCTCTGAAAATGAACACACTCGTTTTCAAATGTTTCATCCAAATCATTTTTGTATATTTTTCTTAATTTTTTTGCACCATCACGAACTTCTGAGGTTTTTTGTTCACTAATATTTAAGAAAAATAAGTATTTAGGTATTATATCATCATAAGAAATTTTTCTTTTTTTTAGTTCTTCTATTAAATTATCACTAATAATGTAAATGGTATTAATTTTGAAATTTTCGCGTCCGTTGAAAATAGCATCTGGTTCAATAGATTCATCATTACGTTTCTTACGTTTTCTATTTTTGTGTTCATAGTCAGGAATTAAGTCATCATTGTCAAACATAGTTTTTGCCAACTTTTCATAATCATTAAACATTGATCGTAAAGTTTGAACATATTCAATTAACGAATTATACAAACTAACTACAGTGCTTATATCAATATCAACAGATTGTAATAGAAGACTAGTTTTGTTAAATGTATGTAAAATATCACTCCAAAATACAGTCATGTATGCTGTTTCTAATTTATTCATTTGTCTAATTAAACCTCTGGCTTCAGACCGTACAAATGGTTTTTCATAATCATCATTTATTAGTTCTTCTAATACTTGTTTTATAGAACTCCAGTTTTTTTTTAAACTGTGGCAAGCGTCTTCTCTTGCTGACCATCGCGTGGTGGATAAACTTTTTACAGTTGAGATAGAATATTGACTTAATTTATGCCATCGATGTGTGGATGAAGAAAAAAATACAAATATATTTTGAATAAAAAGAAAAAAATCATTTGCTTCTTTACAGCAATTTGCAGCACACGATCCAACTAAGTTCAAAGAATGCGCCGAACATGGTACAAAATCAGCTAATAGCGAAACTTGCTTTATTCTTGCTTGAACTCCTGAATAAATACCAGACATGTTTAGCATTGTCATAAGATTGACCTCTCAAATAACAAACATCTAAATTATATTTTTTTAAAACTGATAAAACTGATTCTGCTAGATTTTCTGATTTATGTCCAACATTTTCTAAAAAACCAATAAATCTTTCAATTGGCTCACCGTTCGATAGCACATACCTAATAACGAAAGACAGTTGGTCAGTGTGTGATATATCTGGAGTGGAATCTATGCTGATAGAAAAATATTTCGATGATTTAATTTCATCAACTATGGTATTAATGACTTTTTCAGACATGATTTTAATAAACTGTTCATAAGTAGAAAATGATAAGTAGGAAGTATTACCTTTGCCAGGGTTACCATACTTAGATACGTGTTCTGATAAAAGTGGGTCGTACTCTGCAAGTAATTCCATCATCATAATAAAATTGCCAGTGTTTGAAGTAGATGATCCAAATTTTTCTACATCACCTCTAAATGATAATCCATGGCTTGCCAAACTTTTAACAACCGAACAAACTCTGGTCAGTACACTAATCCAATATTTTTTTTCGGTTTCTATTTGATGCATTAGTTTTGTATTTATTTTACTTAAATCTGATGCAAGTTCTTTCATTTTATAGGAACATAGTTTGTGTTCAGGTGAATTTTCATGATAAGAAATTTTTTTAGGGTGTTTTCAATCTGAAAATCCTGTTTTTGAAAAATTAGTTTTATTCTCAAATAAGAGACATGGAACACAATAAATTGATCCAGTACTCTCAGAATAAGATAAATAATCTCTTTGACATGTTTCACCATTGATTAAAACAGTTTTGAAAAAATCTATATTCAGATATCTAAAATAGTTGCGGAAATGCCCTTTCTGAACAACACTGTACAATCTTTTTGAAGCTGTAAATTTAACATCTAGATTTTGACTAAATCCATTTTTACAGATATATTGCCTCGTTTGATCATTTATACACCACAATGATGGATCCAATCTTAAATAAAAACAAATATGAAGTAAAGTAAGAATTTATTTTAAAAAAATAATTTGAATTAGTGTTTCAACTTTACCCAGGTATATCAGTAGAATTTGGTTCTAATAAAATATTTATATGCTCAGACTGTTCTGAGCATGAAGGGTCAGAATTCAAAAAACGAACAACTGTTGGGTCAATTTTGGATTGATCTACAAATTTTTCATTGATTACAACTAATGCTTGAAGATTAAATGTTTCAGGACTAGAATATAAAAGAAATTATTAAAAAATTAAAACTAGGTAGGTACTTAAATTGTTAAATATTACTTGACTATTTCACTAGATTTTGATTCTATGGAAATATTGTTTTGTCCGACATATAAAGGTTTAGTATCCAAATTACCACAAAGAGCTATAGGGCTAGTTTGAAGTTGTTCAGCAGATTTATTAACCATACCTGACTCTGAGTAGAAATATATAATGGTATAATCAAAAATTATAAAAATACTAGTTGTGTTTAACCATAACTTAAATACAATACATTTTTTTATTCAATATACATGAATACCTAATTCATATAGTAATAAAATAACTAAAAACTACCTGATAAGAAAATTCATATATTCTGAAGTATAATATTTAACTTTTAAGCAATTGTTATTTTTAACTATTTAAATTTCAGTAATAATATAATCATTAGGATTGGTTTAGTGTAATAATATTTAATTTCTTAAGAAAAAAAAAAAATTAACCTTATTTTGTATTCATATAAATTTCATACTATTATTACAGTCAACATAAATAAAATACTTACTTTTGAACATTGTGTCGATTTTAATAGTTTTTTTAACAACTTTATTCAAATTAAATTCTTTGAGCTTAGCTATTTTCTTGTATTCAGCCCCACTAAGCCTATTTCTTCTTGGAGCCATGACTAAATAAGTTATAAAACATTATTACAATTATAAAATGTATCTACTACCTATCCAGAATGCAAATCAGTGACTTATATGAGAAAAATCAATTTCTTAAAAATAATGTTACAAGTGCCTACTATATAATAAAAATATATCGTAACTAATATTCCGTAACTCTTAAGAACATATAGAATTAAAGCACAATTTAACATTTTGTAAATAATTAATCATAATAGTCTTTACTACAATATAAATATTAATTACCATATTAATTATTAATATACTATTGGTTTTATAATTTTTAAAATCAATGATAAATTATAATACTTACCTACTGTTTTGAATATACACACGTAGTATAAAAATAAAAAAAAAATTTATAGTTTAAATAGATTTATTAACAGACAACGTCACTGGTCACTGCGTCTGTACAGCACTAAAGCAATCGTTCACGAATAATTCACTAATAATTGTGTTTTGATTTTTGTTATCGATAATATTATAATAATAGCAGTGTAAATTGTCAATAATCGGCAGTCGTAGCTCCTTATATCATGACAATACCACAACTGTATATTTTCTATTTTTAGTAAGTACTTTTCATAGTCTACGATTCGTAGAACTAAATTCGAATCATATGTTTACAACATCAATAGTCTTATGTATGACCAAATCATTTTATTGACATTCGAGTTGATAACGAATAAAAACTTTATTAGGTACATTCTTTATTCAAAATCTATTTTGGTATAATTATATTATTATAGACTAATAGACTATAGTTATTATATATTATATTTTCGTATCATACTCATTAAGTAAAATGAGCTACAAATAAATTTTACATTTTTGACCATTTCAATATTTTGCCGCCCATAAACCTAATTTCAATATTGCCGCCAGGGGCAATTGCCCCTCCGAGCCCTCTCTTAAATATGGGCCTGGGCATAGACAATATATACGAGTATTACTACTTTAATACTTTCGGTCTAGAACTTATTTATTTTTTTCTGGTCTTCAAGTCACCCATGTAACTCCAACGAGTATATGTGTGTACATGATACCATTGATTATGGATATTACTATCTATAATCAATGATGATACTGATATTTTTGCGTCAGTATAGTGAGCCAGAGAGGTCAGAACTCAAAAGACAATATATAAATTCTAGACCGAAACTAGTATCATGCGAGCAACCGTACCTAACGCACGCCTGTTTCGTCGCTCCGTTAATTACCGCTGCGTATCAGTATATATTATAGTATATATATTAAACTTCTTTTTGCCTTTTATTCTATTAATCACCAAACGTCTTTAATTGTCGATCACAATGTGAACCGAGTTCAATTCATAATAGTTTCAAGTGTCAATTACCTACTTCGTCGCGTATCGACTACGCCACGCAACAGAGGACGACCTTTGTC